ATGTAAACAAAACTTAATGCTTTCAACAATAATTTGTATTAACAAATAAATTAAAATTTAAGTGAKTATAATTTTAAATACTAAATAAACAAATATAAATACAATTGTGGTATATAATATCACAGTTACTTAAATAATCAAGCCAATGGATGTTGAATTATTAATGATGGAAATGTTTTAAGTTTAAAAAAAAAAATTCACAGCCTTTTAAACATAAAGCATATCAATATTATTTAAGAATGCCTCCTGTTTAATATATCAAAAAGCACTTCAGTCGAGCTATTTGAATTACCAGAATCATCGGAATCACTATCTGGTAACGTTAAATGTTTATTATCTTCATTATCAATAATTCCATATCGATTTTCAATTGATCTTGAAAACTTTAGCCACACGTGTCCAGTGACACCTATCATGCACATTGCTAAACCCAAGAACTTCATGTTAGTCATTTTGTCACCATTCCATTCCACAGCCAATATTAAAATACAAATTTCCTAATAATAAAATACTTAATTAAATAAATATTCAATTAACAAAATAGTTTTACTGACCTTGATAATACCAATTATACTTAGTGTAATGCTTGATGTTTTATATACAGCAAAATATTCGGATACTTCAAGTCCAATAGCGAGGAACGATCCCATTAATATACGTATAACCATTTCATAACATCGAATATTTTCATTATTAATCCACCAATTCCAGAAATCATTACCTGAATAATSCAATATTTAAGAAAGCAATTCYATAGGCACAATTTCAATTAAAAAACTAAGAGTGCTTTTTTTTTGCAAGTACAAGTTTCTGATACATAACCACGAACATTATTTGAGGGTGCTAATTTTAGAAATTGGGAGTGCTAATACCCTTTTAGCCACCCCGTATTGGCGCCTATGAGCAATTCAATAAATAACAAAATGGCGTGGAAGAGAGCACCGTTTTGCAGTATCTTAGRTGTTGTTTGGGTTACTGTAATGGAAGTTATTTTATAAAAGCCAAAATTAAATCGAACTGCTTCAAGTACCCACAGATAGTATTAATTAAATTGCAAMAAAATAACTAAATTCATTATTTTTCATTAGAATATCAAATTTTATTGATTTTTCTACTCCCATTTAGGTCAGGTTAAGTTTAATTCAGAGGTGTAATGATGGGTGTCTGGCTTAGTGGAAATACAGGGTTATATGGAATATGGAGGGGGCATGGCCATCTTTATTGTTGAAAAATTCATTTGTAATCATTTGTAATTAATAATTACTAATTATCTAAATTATAAATTTTATTATACATGGTTTTATTTTGATGGTCATTAACTATTATTTTATTTTAGTTGAAACTTAAAATTTACATAGTTTAGCCTAGTCAGCCTTAGGAGGCTAGCAGCACAATAGGACTATGCCCAATATCCCACCTAGCCAGTCTGCCTCTGGTTAAATTAAACTGTGATGGCTTGAAGGCTTGAATAATAATTATCTCAAAATTTTATCTTCCTTTGACTTTTAGTAACTGTGATTTGACTGTTTAAAAAAATATTGACTAAGTGTATTTAATTTAATGTTTATGAACTGTTATTAATAATATTATATTATGAACCTTTAAGCTTTTTGACCCATTTTTTTTTTTTTTTTTTTTTTCACCCAAATGTATTGTAAACACGTGTTTTAGAATGTCAAAAAGCTCAAAAAAGGTAAAATAATATATTTTAAATGCTATAAAATAGTAATTTTTATCAAATACTGAAAATTGTCACATAAAAATTTTCGAACAATTTTAAGTATAATATACTATATATTATATAGTTTTTGAGTAACACCAAAGAAAACATAACCAATTTTTTCAATACTAATTGTGCGTAAAAAACCATTTTTCCCAACACTTTTGAAAACTACAAAAGAATTTTTCCTTTTGACCTTCATAAAGAAATAACTAGATTCACTTYCCTATCAAAATAAATGTATTTGTAGAATCAATAAAYTCATCATTCTGTTCATAATCTAAAATTATAAGTGAAAGATATTTTACCTTCTAAAAACAATGAAATTGGGAATATCGCAATAAACATCCAGGGTTGACTAAAATACATCATATCAACAGGACTTTTCATGCCCATGTCGGCTTTCTGCATAACAAATTGTGATAGTGTCCAACGAAAACCACTGTAATATATAAATTATGCACTTTATTATTGCTGTTAGGTATTATAATCAATATTAATATCAAGTATAACACACTGTGTTAAAGTAATATACAATTTCTAAATCATTTCCCTGAGAGTTAATGATATAAATACATTTTGATTCAACACTTACTATTATAAGATCACTTTTAATTTACCATCTCAAGAAAAAATTT